CTACTACCACCACCACCACCACCCCGACTGCTGCTACTACAATAATGGAGAAGTAGAGCGGTAGAGTGGCAGAGTAGCAGAATACTAGATTAGCAGAGTAGCAGAGTAGCAGAGGAGCAGAGGAGCAGAGGAGCAGAGTGCAAGAGCAGTGGAGTAGCAGTATTGTGGTCGCAGTCGTAGTGGCATAGTGCGCAGCAGCGGCAGGAGGCGTAGAAGCAGTAAGACACGGCATGGTAGAGTAGGAGTAAAAGTAGCTGCAGGAGGAGCGGGGACGAGCAGGGACGAGCAGGAGGAGCAGGAGTAGAGTAGCAGTAACCGTCGTCGTCGCCATCCACGTCGTCATCTTGGTCGTCGCGGTGGCAGCGGTGGTGGCGGCAATTAGCACCAGCAGCGGTGATCATCTTCCTTTCCACCCCAGCAAAAGCTTTGAGTAGCAATAATGATGATGATGATGATGACTAGGACTAGGCCCATCACGAAGAGCCAACTCAAGCACTCATAGCAACATCTAGATTGCCCGGAATTGCGTCATATCAGTCTGGTTCCGGTCTTGTTCTGCAGACGTGGCACAGGATGGCTCCAATGAAGCCGCCCATGCCATGAACGCCCCACACATCCAGGGCATCATCAAGCCCGAGGTGCTTAATCAGCTCGGTGCAGGCGTAGCAAAAGAAGGTGGCAACGATTCCCAACACAAACCTCACAGGACAATTCTTCACATTGTCAGGTAAGGAGGAGCACCTGACAGGTCTGCGAATCCTTCTTGCTGCCCTTGGACGCACCCCAGGGTTGCACGTAACCAGCTGCTGGGGTAATCGTCGCAAAGCCAGCTATCGCACCAACGCAGAGTCCTTCCCATGCAACAGCCACTTCAGATTCTAGATGCAAGCGCAAACGCTGGATGAAGCGTGGGATTCTAATCTCATTGTGCGAACCAAGGATTCCGACAAGGGAAGGTCTACCGAACCGAAGCCACTCAATAACCTGAGCGTGCGACAGCGAAAGTCTTGCGCATCTGCCCCATGCTCGTCCAGCTTCTAACATGCCAGCTGTTGCTGCCAGGGTCACTAGCCACAGGAAGAGCGCCACGCTGGCCGCAATCTGGGAGTTCACTGCCTGAGATTAAACTCTACTTTTATATAGTTCTGCTACCTTCAAGCGGGTTTGTTCGATACAAAGAGCCGCGCTTGTTTTCGAAAGCCCTCCCGATATCAAGTCGTCGGGATGCTGCTCCGATCGCTACGCCGCTCGCTGCGGCTGCGGAGCCTGGGTTGTAGGATGCTACGGTGACAGTAACGACGCAAAAAAGGACCAACCACTCAGTCAGGATCTCTTCTGGCAGTCTGGCGGCCACCGTTGAATCCAAACCAACCGAACCAAAGCAGTGCGGTGCCAAGCGCCACAAACGGAATGTTATGCGGTGTCTCGTGTATATGCTTCTCATCTTCTGGGATCTCTCGGTGACCTACAATGCTCAGGCTTGCCAGCGCAGAAAAACCAGCAGTGACGTGGACGACGATGCCTGCCAGAGACCAAGGAGCATGTTGCATCTCGACTCTCTGGAAGTTTGCACTTTCCCATCCATTTCCACTGTGAAAATCTCTGCAAAGAGTCTGCCTCCCGCAAAGTCCACAACGCCCCACTGAGCAAGCCAACCGCCGCCCCAGATCCAGTGGCACCATGGGAAATACACTATCCTCACTCACTCAACATCCATACCGGCGCAGTCAAAAAGCATGCACGCAAAAACGTTGCCAGAAAGCCAGGCAACACGAGCCATAGGCACAAAAAGATCAAATAGGGCTTAAAGCGCAGCCGATCTGTGAACGTGCCCGTCATAAGCGCAGGTGTGATGATAGCAAACATACCTGGCAGGACAGCTCGTACACGGTGAAGGTCAGCGACGATACTCTATGAAATGCTAACCCACTGCCTTGGTATGCTGCAAACAGCTCACTGGGAATCACCTGTCCCGGCAGTGCCTGCAACAGTGCGGTCAGGATCGCCCTAGACTAGACCCTGTCCCGGGCCACGACTGTGCTACACACTTCATGCCGGGCCTCTCGTACACTCAAGTTGCGAAACCCAAAGTGGGTCCAGGGATTGCCGATGAAGCCCCAGCTTTCTGCAAAACACATGGAGAAGCCGAAAGCGAACCTGATGGCGTGTGACTCCCATGCAGGACGACATCACGATGGCGCTGCGCTTTTTGGGGATCTCTAGTCCCTACATCTCTTTTCCCTGGACCCTCTGGCTAACCAGGCCTGCTTCAGCCGAGACCCTGACAACAGCCTTGTAACTTATGCTTCTACCAGTAGCTTGCACTTCTACTGGTTTATGCTCATCCCTTCCAAGCCACTGACGGAGGCAGAGGACCCACCAAGCGGAGTACTACCAGTAGCAGGATTCAGGTTTCGACACTGATGAGTTTACCATGGTAATGCCTTGCGCTTGCTCAGACAGCTTGGTGCAGCATGGTGCAGCGTTCGCAGCTTTCCAACTAGTGGTCCTGGACTAGACCCTCGGACAAAGTAGGCAAACCTGGCTAATTGTTTCATGAAGGCTGTCGACATAGGCATAGATTAGGAAATCAGAGAAATAGCCAGATGAGTCGAGACTAAAACAAAAAGAATGTGTTAAGAAAATGTGAATAAAATACCACTAAAATGAGGCTGGATAAGAAAGAATCAGAACGAGGAGGTGACGTTAAAAATGACAATGAAAACTCTAGAAAGTAAGTGCAAAAGTGGCAAATGAAAGCGAACAAAGTGAATATAAAGTGACTAATGTGAGAATGACATGAAAAACATGAAAATGAAGTGAGAATGGAGAGAAAATCCACTCGCCGAAGCCTCTGCTCGCTTCCTGCCGAGCTTTTTCACTCGACTCTCACGGTTTTCTCACTCCGCGCGTACTTGTCTCTCACTTTTCCAGGGACGTCTTTATCTTATTTCAGGATCTTCTTTCTCATTCTGCTCTTATCTTTGATTCGCTTTTTGTAATTGTACTGATCCCGAAAACTTCCGCATCAGAAACATCGACCAGGTGCTTGTGCTTCAATTGACGACTCAGCCCGCAACCAAATGATGCTAGCGACACCCATGGAGACGAAGTTCTGTGTCAGCATTGTCAACACCTCTGCAATGTATTGCGGATGGATGCGGATTGCCACTCGTGTTGCAGTGGCTGAGGCCGGAACACTCGTCTCCTTCACCAGGCCACCGTAAAAGAACGCCAAGCCTGGCTGCGAAGAAGTCCGAAAGTCAAAGCGAAGTGTTTAGAGCCAGGCATGCCTGGCGTCATCAACATCACCAGACAAGTGGCGACCATCATCCAGGCCTTAGCATACGGCAGCTGTCCAACATCGTTCATGTCAACCATTTCTGAGAACCATGTGGCAGTTCTCTCATGATATTGCCGCTACGGGTCCGTGCTTGCGGCATCCACCACCATGGCGCCTCCAGAACAAGCACGTTTTAGGTTTGAGTTTTTCGACACCCTTCCACACCTTTTCTCCAGTGCCAGCATCAGCTAGGGGAGTTTGCAGCGATAACGCAACTCAAAAGAGGGAGGGTTTAGGGCTTAGGGTTTGGGGTTTTGAGGCATTACGGGAGACTGGAATTGGAAGGGGCTAAGCCCAATAAGATCAGTGGAAACAAAAATCCAGGTTTGACACTTTCAAGGAATGATGGCATAACATGCTTTTCCTGAAAACGTTCACGAACACGGCACATTCACCTGCTCCTTGCCTGGATCGACAGCTTGGTCAAAAGCTGGACCCCGACGGCGCCCTTGGTGCGGCAGGCCTTTGGTCTTTCAGCCTCAAGATGTCTACTCTGAGAACTGTTCTCTCGGAAGCAGCAGCCGAGCCTCTGCTTCTTGTCAGATCAAAATACGAAGAATTCTGCTGAGCCGAAACGGCTTTCACAAGTGAGCCTCAAGCGCCTCTGTCAACAGCAGAATGCCAAGGAACGCTAGGGACAGTGGCAAGAAAAACAGCTAGTCTGCTTCGTTGGCTGTGAACAGGCCGTTGGAGCACCAAGCTCCGAGAGGCGCAAAGCCATCGTCTTGGTGGAACAGGACTCCGCGGACACAAACACAAGGAGGTAAGGCAACCCAGGTGTAAGGCGTTGAACTCTTCCTTTGCGCTGCCCTGAAAGCAGCTAACAGGTTTTCCAGAGACCACTCACAAAAACCGAAGCAAACAACTGCGCAAATGCTGTCCTCAAGGTCAACGCCGCTCAAGCGCATGTCCCGCAGTGCAGACTCCACAATGCGCTTTCGAGATTCCGGAAGCGCGCCTCTGCGACGTGATTGGGTTGCATCAGTCAAGAAGGCTGCTTACACAAACCTGGTTGATCCTGCGTCGCAGTCTTACACGTAGAATGAGCAGATTCACCACTCAATGCAGGCTTTTTTGAATTTGTAACTAACACCTCGCAATACTTCTGAAACCAATTTCGTCAAGGCACTTTGGTCCAAGCTGCCCAAAGCGTTGAAGACTACGCGACTCTGTGACAGCTCCATAGAGGCCTAGTGTTTGCAAGGCGCGCAGACATCCATTTCGTTTGTTTCTGGGTTGCCTTCACGACCTCTGGCTGAACTGCTTGATGGACTTTACGCAGTTCATCAGAATTCTTCACCTTAGCATTCTGTGCTCAGCGGGGTGTGACAGCCCTTGGCCTTGCACAAGCCGCAGTAACACGATTATCACTTGCCACGCCAAAACTCCCACCATTTTCAGAGACAGTGATCTGGATTGGAGCCAGCGGCATTGTTCAAGTGGCTCACAACACCCCAGCTGTACGAAAGAGGGTGGCGTATCTTCTCCAAGGACTCCACAATCCTCAGGATTGCATCGTCTGTTTTAACCTGTTGGCCACAGCAAATCTTGTTCAGTCCGAGGGTCGTCTCGTATTCAGCCTCTTTCTTAGGGAGTTCTCCCTCCAAGCCTTTGAAATCCTGCATCATGAATATGCACAGCACGCGCCGCTCCCCCATCACTTGATTCTCACCTGTGACGACTCCAATTGCACGCCTCACGCATCGACTTGAGGATCGAATCGACAGCCGGCTCAACATGCTTGACCTGGCATCCCAAGACAGAACACGTCCTGTCCCTACGTCCGGACTCAAAAGCCCGACACACGTAAGTTTGGATGTAAACATTTCAGCTACACGGCAGCTTAAATTATTTCCCAATGCAGCCGGGACACGTCAATGGACTGAAATCGAGGCAGCCCCTTCGTCTCCAGCAAAGGGTTGGCTTCAGCGACGGTGGCTGCATTGTGCCTGGCCATAAGCCGAAATTGCCGTCGTCACAGCGCAGGCACTTAAACTGAGCACATCACTTTGTCCCAGAGCTCCGATTCGTGTAGGTGGCAAAATTCTCTCCGAGACACGAGAGACAGGCAAAGCAGACAAAGCTAGCTGGAAACGGGTTAGAAAGCAGCCGACCCGACCTGCGACGACAAATCCCAAATTCTGCGGTTCCGCGTTCGAGGCAAGCAGCTTCCACTGCTAAAGATTGGAGAATTCCTGGGGCTCCCAATCAGCGCCCGGGGCAACTGCGTCGAAAACAATCCAGAATGGCCTCCAGGCACCCGAGGTATCGAGCGTCAGGAGGCATTGAAGCCCTTGAAGTTCGCGGTGCCAGCTGGTCCGCCCAGGTGGCGGAGCACCGCTTGACATGGGAAGGTATCACGAAAGATCCTGCCGCCGGCTCTTAGGCCATAAGCTTGACTTCTTGCAGGATCTATTTACTTTTGTTACCCGTTCGGAGGGGGATTGACGCGTCCATAGCACTGGAAAGGAGAATTATTGCTGCAAGGACGAAACGGATGAGTGTGCTCCATGGCGAACCAGCACACCTGATCCTTGTTGGGGCTGGGGCTCGAGGAACCAGCCCTCAATAGGATGCCCAACTCTCCGCTTCCATGGCCTATGTCCAGCTTCTCCTTCGGGAGCCAAGCCGTGCCCCTGGAGATATTGAACATGTAGGCTGGGATTCTCTGCTCCAAGTATATTTCTGCGCCAGGAGACTGGGCAGCTTGCCGAGGTGCGTATACAAGAGGTCATCAGGCCTGTCTCCTTCCTGTGCTCGAAGCCGCTGGCTGACGACAGAAATGGTGACTTCCAGGCCTATTTCCTGACCCCCCCCACCCTCACAGGGATAAGCCCCAAATTATGCTAGGCAGAGAATCACCCCCTCCCCCCAAAGGCCTATTACGAGGGTGTGGGAATGGCATTTTCCAACCGAGTCGAGAGGGCCCGTACGACCAGAAGAGCGGGACCTATCCTCCCACCACATGCCCGCCTGTGTGGAAGGTAATTGTCCAGACTCTGCCGGGACCCTTTTACTCAATTTGTTCAACCGCCACCAGGTAACACGGAGCAGGAGGTCGCGCCACAACGTGAGGCCTATCAAGACTCGCCCAGAGCAGCAGGGAGCAAAACCAGGAAATATCGGTTATCCGGAGGTTCATAAGGCGGATCAGTCCAGACTGTGGTCCAAAATGGCAAGCAAATGCACGGCTCATTCGCATGCACTCCAAGCACACGAGGCGAAAGATGCTTGAGCCCTGTGACAATCGAATCAAAAAGCGCACGCACCGTCTACTCTTGTACCCTTCTAGCCCAGAATCCAACACACACCACGACTGCGCGTCAGGCAGGCATGACAGGCCCAAAGAAACACAAAATACGCCAATACGCAACTGTCTGGCCACCGATACCATTGGTCGCAGGCCCGGTCGCAGGTGTCAAGGCGGTACAGGCCACAACTTGACAAGACGCAGCCGAAGGGCCAGGCCTGACGCTGCGCAAACGGCGCTGCGGGGCAAACAGTCGCAAGGTTCCACTGGACCGAAGAAAGCCTGGGTCAGTCCAGGCTCAGAGACTGCCAAAGCAACTTAATCACTGCATGCTGTCAGTATCAAAAAATCAACAAACCCTTTCAGCCCTGTGGCAAAGGTGAGCCATCGAGCACAGAGCTGCGCCCACCACAGCCTAAACTCAGGGTACATGCTATCATATGCCCTACAGCATACTGGCAGACGGAGCACGGTGCTGAGACTCCAGCCACAGCAGCGCAGCGCAACAAGCTGCTGCTGGCACGGTTGACCCGAGCAGGGGCAGGAGGCATTGCACTAAAAAAGTTGAAACCTACGGCTGTACACTTGGTCTGGCCATGTGCATCGAATGGAAATGAGTTCTGAGGAAGAAGGGCATGCTACGCATCAGCCAATCATCAGCCTACGGTCTGAAACTGCCGTTGTCACAGCTGGTATAACTCGCCTGCAGCCAAATTGTCGTCGAAGACATGTTCCCAAAGCAGAGTCGCTCCCCGCCCCTTGTGCTCTGAAAGGCAATGCTGTGGCTGTGAATCGTTGTAGCAGATGTAGCAGCATGCATTTGTGAGATGACCTTTCGATCCCTTCTGTTCGCCATCCTTCCCTTCTCAGCCTCCTTCAACTGCTCTGCTTATCCTAGAGGTCCTTCAAGGACGACATTACATTTTGCTTCTAGCGCTCGAATGCCACATAAACAAGATGCCCTGCGGCCCTGTCTGCAACTGCGGCTGAACGCAGAAAGGAGACACTTTTTCGTGCTGCTCCGCATCAAGATTGCGAGCCCATCCAGCCTGAGCAGTTGTTCTCAAGTACACTGCACGCACATCAAGTGTGTCTACACACACTCAGTCAATTTCTTTCGCAGTGAGTCCACCTGCTGTACAGAGCAAGCAAGGAGCGCATGTGGACGAGCACGTTATTCGCTCTTTGTCTTCCGTGCAACAAGAACAAGGGCTGTGCCTCTGAGGATGATTTGTCCATTCTCTCCCGTCCAGTGATCCTGCAGATACTTCTCTACAGCGGCTTCGTCCCAGTCACCCAAATCGCTGGACAGCGGATTCTTGTTCATCATCGCGGCCAGATGTTGTGGAAGGCAAACAGAAGAACCAGCGACAAATCTCGCGCTGAGGTCGCTGTCCTTCCATAACTTTGGTCCACTGTCGAGGTCTCCACGAAACAAGCGCCGAATGTAGCATTCTTGTCCGAACTTATGAGTAGCAGCTGCCATGGGCAAGTCTTTGAAGCGACTATGACCTTTGAAAACATGTGCAATATCGGGTAGGATGTCATAAGGAATGTTATTGTAATGCCAAGTAGTGACCACAGCGACTCCACCAGGCATCAACAGTCGCCAGAATTCACGAACCACCTTCTCTGGAGATGGCGGAAACATGATTCCGAAGGTACAAGTTATTGCACTGAAGGTTCCATCAGCAAAAGCTGAGAGGTCCTGTGCATCTGCAACCTGGGATGTAAGTTCCAGTACCCCTTCCTTTGCTGCTGCTTGCGTCGCAGCGACCTCCGAGTCTGCTGCGGTGGCGTTGAACTTCTGCATCAACGTTTTCAACATAACATCGCTGAAGTCAGTAGCAACAATGGCCGCAGTGCGGCGAGCTTGCCTGCAATGATCTGACATTTGTTTGCCCAAGGCAAATGTGGATGCACCTGTTCCAGCAGCAACATCCATAATCCTCACCGTGCCAGAAGTTTCAGGCAGCAAGTCTGGCAACTCGACACATGCCGCACGGGTAAATTGGCCTGTGAAGGCTTCGAACGGCGCATATCCCTCAGACGCTGAGTTCCAGGAGTCTTTCGAGTCAGCAGGCATGCGGCTGTCACGTGACTGGATCGCGCAGGATTGGATAAAGAACCTTTTACAGCATTTCTCGAGCCGTAGACAGCCGGCGAGAACTCTCAAGTCCGCCTTAGCCCTGGCAGTCAGTTCCCGACCTCTCATCTCTCATCTCATCCCTCGGCCATAGGCTCTGCACCTGCAGACGCAATCTTCTACCAGGAGAGCAGGCTGTCAGGCAACAGGCAATGCAAGGTCCAAGCGATGAGATTGCTGCCAAAAGCTACACAAGCCCAAAATGCCCGACATGCCCAAATAGCTTTGGCCTCCTTCGACCCCCGGCGCCGGCTCAGGGCCCTCAGTGCCTGCACTAACTGGTTAAATCTTCTACTGTCAAGTACTGCTTCGTTGCAGAACTCCGCCTGGCTCCTTAAGGTCGTCTGGGAGGATGCCACTCTTCAAGGCCTCCGCAGTTGAACATCCATGTAAGCTTCTGTCTTGCGCTTCGCAATGAGGCAAAGTGTAGTACCCCAAGAAGGGCCTTCTCAAGGCGCGTGACTTCCTCGATGGTCTCTGCTTCTGCGATAGCCTTCTTGATGCGCTCCTGGGCAGCTGCTGTTCAAATGTTGAGAGCCACAGCAGAGATTTGAGGACCCTTGGGCAGCTCCTGACACTGATGCGCATCTGTGAGCAATGAACATCTGTAAGCGCCATGTATTTAGCCGTAGCCCATCCAAGCCCACTATCAGCCTTCCAATCAATGCAGATGCGTGGCAATAACTTCCGGAGATGGACCGGACTTTGAGACGTCGGCGACCTGACATGCTGCAGTGCAGAGAGTGCTGATAAGTAGGGAACTCTTCAAGTGAATGCTGACGGCCTTTTCTGTGGGCTCCTTGCCAACCACGCGTGGGGGAGCAATCTCCTGTGTGCGTGTTGGCTCTGGTGGCTGGTTCATGGCAGCGAAGTAAAACACATCCGGACTGCCTCCAGCAGTTTCTTACCACGCTCGCCGGCAAACAGCAGCGTAGCCGCCTAGGGCAAGAGGAAGTTGCGAATGATTACAGCACAGCACAGCGTGCGAAAGTAGCCTTTCTCTCTTTGTCCTTGATGCGGTTGAAGTCTAGAATCCTTCCAAGATCTTTGATTTTACAGCACTTCGGAATGCAATACAAGAAAAGTCATGCCTCAGCGTCTTGGAGCTCTTGTGGATCATGTACGGTCGGAAGTGCTTCACCTTCCATCCACGACAGGACGAGGTTACATCTCCTCATCATTTCCCGCCTTGGTGACCGGGTTGTCCATGAGGCTCAGGCGCTCCAGGTTCTTGAGCTGCGTGATGGGCTCTAAGTCTACAAGCCTCAGCACTGCCATGATTTTGTCGTTCTAGGCATCAGCGTTCAGCCGAGCATCTTCTCCAGCTTGTTGCCTCACGCAGTCATCACTTACACTGACGCAACTAGTCTCAAAAACTTGCTAAAGAAACTTGACTCCTGCCTGTCAGGACCAGGCTAACAATGTTGGGAATTGGGTCGAAGCCTCATCTGCTGCATTTCATCTTTTGCGCCCAATGCATCTTTGTCATCACTTGCTGACGAGCCACAGTCTGGCGCAATTCGGCTGATCCTCGTTGTGCCAGATGCCAGACATGCAAAATTCTAGTGTGACCAGCTGCATCTGGGAAAGTTATCGCGGAGCATACCTTGCCTGTTGTTCATCAGCATCAGGACACGTAATCTCAGATTGCGCACAAGCGATGAACGAAAGGGGAGGCGCAGACTTCTAACTAACTTCTTGCAACTCGGTCAGGTGAGGATCCCGCCTTTTTAGCGGCGGGAAATTTCCCAGTTTGATGAGATCGTTGTCTGAGAAGTCCAGACACCTACAGAATCAGACAAATCGTAAGCTTTCAACAAGATGCGGTCCCTATGTCTGCTGCGCTGGCAAGTAGGCGCTGCCCAGTGACTTTAAAAACCTACCGCGAAAAACTATGCGCTGAGTAAGGCAGTGACTCATAGGCATCATCCGTGCCTCCCAGGTTTTCCTCAGGTGCCAACTTGTCTTTGAAGAATCGCAGACAACTGATGCCGGTCAAGCTGCAATGGTAGGAATCCTGAGTGGGAGACTTGTCCACGTGCAAGGGCGTGCAGCTGAAAGAGTACTGTCAACAGATTGCGCATTGCATCCAGGCAGCTTGTAGCCTCTAAGCTGCAGCTGCCGATGCAACGCTGGGTTCAGTGACTGCGGTGCTTGCTGCAGCAGCTCAAGAGTCAACCGCATCCTGTCATAGGCATTGCACTTCAGCTGACACATCAAGCATGGTAATTGCGGCCTGGCAGTTCCGGGTCCCGGCCAAGCCCTGCTGGTGAGCTCAGCTTCAGCTTGAGCCCAACTGTTCACGGCCAGACTGACTTATCCGCCTCCGCTGCCTGGGCATCTGTCCAAAGTTGCCAAGCACCATCAACAAAGACTGGAGCAGCAACCTAGTCCAAATCTTTTCTGCGCTTCGCGCAAGATGTGGACGTTTCGAACGAGATGTTCTAAGCGTCTGAGGTGCTGTCTGGGAGCGAAATGTCAGCTGCAAGTGTAGATTGCACGGCTCCATCCAGAGACCTGCACCTTGACGAAACCCAGCCATGCTGGCTACTGGAAAGGGTGAGCCCGATACTTCCGGGAGCCGGTAAAGCTACGCACCCTCTCAAAATCTGGGGCAGCGTGAGATGGACCACCATGGTGCGGGGTATTCACCCGTCAATATCCTGGGGCCTCTGTCTTCTGCTAGACCGCGAGACGTGTCGTGGATCCATAACCACGCTGACGCTCTTCCGTCAAATCGGTGAAACACCTCCTCGCTGGAGGGAACTATGGTAGTGGTGCCAAAAGGAAGGGCCGCATCGCATCCCTCCCTGCGGTTGGGAAAGTCTGACGCTAATGAGGGTTTCAGCACTGCACCCTATGGCTGTCTATGCATCATACTCTGTGCTGATAGCCTTTGACCGTGCACTGTGTCACGGGCAAAACCCTCAGGAGATAATCTCAGGGCCAGCTCTGGCTTTGAGCATGTAGAGAAGTAGCTCGGTAGGCACCTGAACAGAGCATCCACAACATGCTTTCACAAATCCAGCGGGCACCCTCCTTTAACCCAAGTCCGGGGTAGGTGTCGCTGGAACTGGATTACTCCTGGCCTCCTGAAGCCAGTCTTCCCTTAGCTCGAAGCCTTCCTTTGTGATGAAGGTCCGCACCTCCGGGACCTTGCAACGCTGCGACTATGATCTGGAATACAATAAGAAGGGCAACTTTAAACATGATACGATTTGTATTTAAGAAAGGTTCATATAGCGGTATGGTATGAAAAGCATACGTTTGCAGGATATGCTCTTCTTGAGCTAAGTTGTTTTGACTCAGTCAAAGACGAATAACTTCTGAACTTTGGTCTGCCAAGTCAGATTTGTTGTGCAAGTGGGGTGCGAGTGAATTCACTGCATCAAGCTGCAACGCTTGTGGCCAAGGCCCAAGGCACAACGAGATCGCTCTCAGCACTTGAGAGCAGTTCATACCGTGGCTTGCAGAATTGCAAATGAGAAATTATTGCACGGAGTTTGAAGCGACGATGGAAAGAGCACTGATAAGATCTTGAGCCAAAGACCTCCGGAGCCTGCTGAATCTCGTGCCGCGTCATCTCAGAGGGACCGGCAGGACTGGGTGAGGAAGCCAGGGCAGCCTGCGCAAGAGCGTAGTCCAGCGAGCCTCCTGCCCTCACACGCACATGACTCGCCTGTTTCGCCACCCTGGGACTGTCACTGTCCAAAGCCCCCGGAAGTAACGTTCCACATCCCAGCTCTCCAGGAAGCTGGACCTACCGTAAAGTCTGTAAAGCGCGTCTCTTCTCAAAAGAAGGATGAGACGACGAGTTGCTGAGGCTTCAGCCGGCTCCTCTGGCACGACTTCCTTGTGCTGAGATGCTTGCAAAGCCTGCGTCCACAGCTTTCAGCATGATCCATGGCACCATAACGGAGTTTTCAGATACCGGACCTCTCTGCACGGAAGTGGAGCTGACGGGAACCTGACTGGCACGGAGTCCTGTGCTCCAGGCATCAGAGCTGGACAACAAATGAAACTGCTGGACCACGGTCAGCATGAGCCTCGCCACTCAGGTTCAGTGTATGCAGTCCGATGGACGTCGTCTTGCTCTCCTTGACCCCGTTGATGCAGAATACTTTTAGTACGCTTGACGGTGCTGACATTCACTGAAGATTTGAGGCGTCTTGCACCCGTCGTGTGCATGGCAAGCAACTGCAAAATATGCAGGCGCCCAGGCCTGGGTGTCCATGGGTGCCTTGAGCAGGCGCTGTACATCTGACTCTAGTCGGGCCAGCGAGCTCCTGTTGAAGGACTCATGAAGTAGGCTTGGTGCTCTGCACACTCACTTCGCAACTCTCAGCTTGCATCTTGCTTTCACTTGTCATCATGTAGCTGATCCAGTAGAGTTGTCACACTTGTCTTCATCGTTCAGCCAAGTCACAACACCTTCTGATCTTCTGCACGAACCTACGTCGAAATATTGATGATTCTCAAGCGACACTCAAACAGTGCACCGTCAACAGAACACAGGTGTCTCTTGCAGCACTCCACAACGGCGAGCTCTCAAGCAGCTGCACTCAGCACCTTGGATGCCAACATTTGGACGTCCAGGACCTCAGCTGACGACTCAAGATGACTCAAACGCAAATCTCCCCTCATAAACAACGACCACAGCAAAGTAGCAACCTTCAGCACGAGCCATTGAATAAGGGCAAACCTTGTCTGCCAAGACACCCCCGCAGAGTTGTTCATTTGCAGTTCGACGACCTGCTTGCGGGCCCCGTGGACAGCCGTCTGCCAACTTAAGGAAACTGCTTTTGAGCAATGCTGCAGGAGGGTCTATGTTTCCCTCCCTGCGCACCTGGTCTGCAAACTGATTGAAAGACAAGCTCGGTGGCCTCAATGCATGTCTGCTCCACCCCGTGAAGCTTGGCAGAACAGAAGTAGTGCTGGCCTCCTTGATCCAAGTGCCTTCGAATCCGTCAGAAAGGATTCATCCGCATCATCGTTCTTGGAAGGGGCGAAGATTGTCTCCTGACAGCAGTGGTAACAGTGGCATAAATCCCGTAGATCCTACTCGCTCCGAAAGCAGTCGCCTGCATATGATCCAGTCGCTGGATGATCGCAGACTCTTCCATGCCCAGCCTCGGAAGTTCAGTGATCCCTCACCATCTCGCAACTGCATGTAGTCAAGAGTGTTGGGGCCAGGATTTCCACGAAACAAGGCGGAAGTCTGCCACTGATGCATGGATTTGATGGAATTGATGGAAGATGACATTGCCACCCTACCCGCCCGCATTCAGCTGAACGAGTTGAACTGTGGATTCGACAGAATTGTGCTTTAAACCTCCACCATCCAAACCTGACGATGATTGATTGGATGACATGTTGGAGCCTGTGTCCAAGCTTTTGCCGAAGAGGGGCCGAGCGAAGATCTCCATCACTTTAGGATTTGCTTTCATCTTCTGGAATTCCTCTTCACCTTGAGCAGCGAATGTGTTGTCAGACGCGGCAAAGCTTGCTTGACGAAGGCAGTGCAGGAAGATTCCGCATGGACAAGCACTTCACAATCGCGGCGAGCTGCTGATGATTCCATCGTGAGAAGTATCCAAGGCCTTACACGTCAAAAAAACTGCAGCGCCATGCTATACTGCACGCCGCACAATTGTCTACATGTTGGGAAAGCCTGCACTGATTCCGTCTGCCAGCACCGCGAATATCAACCATCAATGCCATGTGAAGTCAAATAAAATGAAAAGATGAAGAGCATACCGAGTTTCTTTCCCTCCGGCACTGGGGCCCATAGAAAGGAAATGCTAGGACCCTGCCACTTCTGCACCATCCGGCAAAAGATGCGCACAGTTCAGAGCCAAGATGCCTCAAAAGCTTCTTCAAGACTGGTCTTTAAATCCACAAGAATCTGTTGCTTCTCATGCTCGCGGGAATTGTCCTCCACGACCTTGCACAAATCAACACTGTCACCACAAATTGACACAGAATGTGGGAGCAGCACATGGCCTGGCAAAGGACACCGATCAGCATGTTCAGCAAAGTAATTCCAGAGATTACTACGAAGAGCGTGAAGAGCCAGAAGAGCAACACGCTGTCCTTCTTGCTTTCAGTGTGCACATCCCCGACAGGCGTATGGGATGAGGGGCGCAAGTTCCTCCTCGATGGCTAGAAAGGCGAAAGCCAGCTCATCTGCCAGCCTTTCGCGCGAGACAGCTTGCACTGGAACTCAGGAGCATGAAGAATGATGACCCTGTTTATCCCTGAGATCCCAACACGCCATGCGTAAACCTTGGATAATTCTGCAAGGTTGCAGGTGACGTACATGAAGTTAAAACACGCGAATACGAGGCCGTACAGATTCTGACTTGGCAATTACGTCAAACTTCCTTCCTCTGCATGGCGAAGAGAACCATACAGCTTGCAAGCTTCGACTACAACATCTATGACTGTGAAATCGGTCGAGCTGCAGAGAAAGCATAGAGGAGCCCATGTCAGCAAAGAGCTGCTGGGCTGTGGCCTGCATGGATATCTGGGGCGCGACAATCTTCAAACACAAGGTTGACTCCAACATGCTGCAGCCCTTGAATTGCCTCGGACAAGTCCGCGTTGATGCGGGGTGTTCCGGGCACAGCCAGCCTCGGCACATAAGGTACAAATTATTACCCTTCGTTTGTTGTGTGCAGGGCCTTGGTCCTAGGTTAATCAATGAAGGAAACTTTGCCTCAGCACGTGCCCAGTGCCGAGGAAGCCTGGGCCTGTAAGTTAAGTTCGGCAGACAGGCTTCTGGAAAAAATCTGCCTCCCTGCCCTCCCTACCGTAGCCTCCAATGCACGTCGCACATTCCACCCCCTCCAAAACCATGCACGTCACACAGTCCACCCCCTCCAAAACCAGCGCGCGTCCACCTGAGAACGTTCACCTTTCTGATCGTATTTGTTGGTCTGATGCAACATGTTAGGGACTCGAGACGCTCCTCTAGCAAGCAAAGCCTTCTGACGTAGTAGAGGGCTCTGCCGGCTCTACTATTGCAAGATTGCACGGTGCCACTCCTTGTTCCAGCTGACGCGTTCAATCGTGAACCGTGCTGTATTTTGAGCTCCTACAGGTTTGCCCCCCCACCCCAGCGCCCCAGGCCCCACGCACCCAAAAAAAATCTACCCGAACCGAAGGTTACTTCCGGTGCTCTGTATGACCGCTGCCACCTGGCTCGAGCCAGGCCTACTCGGCGCGCGATAGCGTTGATGATGTCAGGGAGGCATAATGACGTTCATTTTAAAGCTTCAGGTCTCGGATTTTGCGCTTTGCCAGAACTTGGAAGGTCATGTGGTGCAGAATCCTTCATTTTCTAGGCGCAGGTGCTGAATTCGGCTCCTTGCCAGGGCGCTGGGACCTGCACGTAGTTTGTGTATCACGAGTATCAGTTTTCATCTTTCGATGCAAGTTCAGGAGTTCAACGCAAGCTTCAAGCAGCTGGTCGAAAGTTGTTTGGGTTTACTCGCTTTTCAAATATAGACATCTGGACAGTACTGACCTCCGCAACCTTCTAGTTGAAATGTCGTTGCGCTGGGTTGCCTCGCTGGTACTCTGCATGATGGCAGTGCGTGGCGCGCAGCCCAAAACGACCATCCACGTCACGAAGAAGACCCCTCAGAGTTGCATGCACTATCCCATGACCCGCAGTTACTTACGGCCCAGATGGTAGAAGGCAGTACCCACAGCCTCTCTGTCTGATTACTATTGACAAATCCTGGCCTTCGATCTTTATAGAGCACGGAACCACATCTGAGTAACTTAGCAAATTATTAACACCATGGCATGTGAGCCTGCACACGCCCCCCCAAAAAATCACGTGGCATCGAAGTGGCTTTGAGAAATGAACGCGAAACCACAGCGGGAAGCAGATTTGCTCCAGAAAGCCGCTTGCTGAAAATCAACGCCCGTAAGAAGTTTGTTACACAAAACACTCCCAAAAGCTGGCTAGGCTGCGGAAGATGAACACCGAATAAGCCATTCTTAAAGTATAAAGTCAGCACAAACCCGCCAACAAACGCCCGTGTTCACTCAAGAATGGTTTGCGCCAAATTGCAAATCACTAATGAGCACGTTAATTACCATGTTGGTGCGTAGGGATCGCGAGGGAGCCCTGCTGAAAGATCTACATTTATCAGCGATCCTCCTTCCTGTCCCGGGCGCCTCCACGTTTTGCATAGACCCTTGTGGAGGTTCGGAAGGCCCCTATCACAGGTACTTATACGACACTTCCCGTTTAGGCCCTGAGCCTCAAACAGCCCCAGACCCCAAAAACCCAAAACTCAGCCCCTAAAGCCTGAGCAACCGCATACCCTGAACCTCAAACCATCCCACACTCTCAACAACCCCAACACCCCAAACTCCAAAGCCGAAACAACTATCTGCCTTGAATGCAGCGATGTTCTGCAAGTCCAAATGGCGACAATCAACATACCAACATGTGTTTGGTCGAGCCGCCAGTCTCGGAAATGGAGCGAGACAACTTCAAAACAGTATTTACAGGTCTGTAAATGTAAATCGGCAAACCGGCTTCCTAAATTCTTGGCCGAACCCCTACTTGCTTGAACCCCCATTAAAAACCCTAAACCATCCTAAACCCTTTATCCTAAACTCAAATGAAAGGAGGCCCTAGACCCCAAATTCCGTGCACAAAGGAGGATCTGCATGCGCAAACAAGCAAAACTCCTAACTTTAGGATCTTTTGTGTTGATGCAGTGCTTGGGGAGTAACATTGATTGAAAGGCAATTCCACCACTGACTTGGGAGGGGGTGAGGAGGTAGCCTTGGGGGAAGGGTTCCTACAAGCTCTTCGCTAAGCTAGATTAAACTACTTGTAGGGTAGAAAGCATGGCACACAAGTAGCGAAGGCAACTCACGATCCATCGCCTACCTGCACAGCTCTCCAAATTGATGTAGGTGCTTCTACTCAACTGCCGAGAGACTGAGATGTAAAAACGATCGCGAACAGGTAAGTCACCTCACAATGCAATCAGCCTGCGCAACTGCGAGGCTGCGAATCTTACAATGCATTAACCAGGAAGCATTGAACTGAGCTCCAGGCCAGAACAAGGAGGAAAAGAATGTTAAAAACTGCGTTCATGGCTCGTGCAATGCCTGAGCAAGCACGCTGTGGGCAATGCCATCTTGAGAATGCTGCCTCCTCGAGTTGGCAGTCGACATTTTGACTGGCATTGCAGGGAAGGGGCTCTTCACCAGCAGTCTCATTTCTGGATGAAATCGAAGCATCCGGAATATGCGACCCAGGCGAAGCCTGCCCGGGCAGACTTGGCAAAGAGGTCCGCATGACGCTACAGGCGGCCCAATGGGATAGCACGAGTCTTGAAGGGCAAAATGCTGAAAGCATGGATGCTGAGCTCGGGGCAAGCGGAAGAGCCTTTCAAACAACATCTTCTTTGTCCGGAAGAACAAGTGCTTCTGAAGAGCCAGCTGTACATGTATATCCCTCATGAAATGAGAAAGTGCATTTACTGCTGTCTTCCTTGAGCATCTGCATCACATAGCAGATCCGCCTTATGAGGGAAACGTTATCAAGCGCATCGGAGTCCAGAGTGCCGTAGAACAAATTTATCAGAGGCCTGACGCTGTGAGAGCCAAAGCAAAGCGAGGTAGCTTCAAATTCGTGCATGCAATCAATTACACAAGTCATGATGCACAAATCACTCCGTGTTAACTAGTACTTGCAGGCCAGGCGCAAAAACCACGTCTCCAGAACCATTAAGATCACCAACAATAAATCCTCAGCGCATGCTGCGTAGGGATGCAAGCCACACCACACACAGGGCAGGAGAAGGCATTATTAAATGTACGGTAGCTGGGACCTCAAACAGGGAACCGCAAGAATAATAGGCATATTTTCGGGATACAAGGACCGTGGCAAGTATCTTCCTATTATATTATATGGGAAGAGTTTTTTGTTGTCTGGTCCTTTTTGTTGTTTGGGCTGTTCGGGTGTTGTTTTTTTTGCTGTTTGGGCGGGGGCGAGTTGTTTTTTTTGCTGTTTGGGCGG